TTGTGTGGCTTTCCCTGTTGACTGACATACAGGCTGTGCTGTGCGAGGACAAAGAGCAAAACTTTCAAAAGAAAGTGGAACCAAGAAATCAGTCCGATAGAAACCAACAGCAAATTCCATGGGGATTTCAGTGTGTGCTCAGCAAGGCTAAATTGAGCTCTTGGGGCTTTAGGTAACAACTCTGCATTAAATTGCCTTTCAACGTGGAAAGCCGGTCTGTAGAGAAAAGGCTCATATAGGTTGAGCATGAAAACTCCTAGGCACCTGTTCAAATCCAGTTCAACATTCAGCCAGCAGACGTCTCCCTAACCCTTCTGGAGTCCAGCCCAGGAGAGGGAAGAAGGAGGTCCCTGGGGGACATGGCTCAGAAAAGAGATGAGGGGAGCTGGCGGTTGAAAGGTGCAGCTTGAGAGCTGAGCCTGGAAGGCTGGAGAGCTGGATCAGATTGAACCCCGCCACTGACAAAGGACGAGCACTATCTATTGCAAGGGGTTAGAGAGGTGACACTAAGGCTTCTTCCTTCATCGCCTGATACTGGGCTGCCCTGAGCCTTGGGGGACTCTGAATTAATTGCTACTGAATCGATCATTTATCATCTCTTTTGCCTGTGATTTTTTAAAAGCAATTGTACTGAGGGTCTTTGCATCTTACCTCTGCAGCCCAGTAAGGAAACTAAGGATGTTAAATATCCATTAATTTACTAGTTGAGTAGTCAATGGAATTTCCATTGACTACTCGACTAGTCAATAGGCACTTCTGCATTCCTCCTTTGAAATGTACAAGAACCCTTACATGGGCTCTTGTACATTTCAAAGGAGGAATACGGAACTCCGCATGCAGCCTGGGGCCTGCGGGAAGTTCCACTGACTCCAGGCTGCATGCGGGTGCCAGTTTTGAAATGTACAAGAGTCCCCAGCAGGGACTCTTATGCATTTCAAAGCAGAAGCGCCCTCATGGAGCCTGGGATCAGCAGGGGACTCAGAGACCCCAGCTGACCCTAGGCTCCATGTTGCGCTGCTGATGTGAAATGCCACGTGGAGCCCAGGTTCAGCGCAGCATTTCAGCAGAACCCAGGATCAACTGGGGACTCCCCAGCTGACTGTTGAGTTCCACATGGCATTTTCCCAGAACCCGGAGTCAGCTGGGGACTCTGTTTCAAAGGGGGCAATGCCGCACAGCTGCCGCTTTGAAGTTCTCCCTCTCCCGCTTTGCTGCCTCTGACAGAGGCAGCAAGGGGGGGGGGGGGAATTGACTATTTGACTAGTCCTTAACATCCTTAAAGGAAACCCTCTATGTTATCACTGGGAATGGATGCTCACTAAGGGCTAGAGATGAAAGAACCCAGTGTGGTTCACTCAGGGTGCTAGAAGATACCTAGAAATCGGGGGTTCACAGTTACGCTTCAGTGCTGGATTTATGCGCAAGCATAGTAAGCTACAGTTTAGGGCCTCAGATTATGAGGGGGCCTCACTGCAAAAAATGACTAGATTTTAGTTGTATCCTTTCCTATGTATCGGTATATATGCAAATAGAAAACTTTATTATTTCTATTTTCATAGTCCTTTCTGTTACCCCAAAATTTTATATTATTCTAATGCAATGGGGTCTCTTAAACTTTGACATAGTTTAGGGCCTCAGCATGCCTTAGCCCAGCCCTGGTGACCAAGGGTCCCTCTAAACTGTGTGGCAGCAGGGGCTCCTCTGCGCACGGGGCTGCCTGGCAGAGGGAGGGCAGCTGCTGCTGTAGCTGAGGGAAAAGTGCCCCTCCCCAAGCCAGGCAGCTCCATGCCCTGAGCCCCTGGCTTGGTGGGGCTCATTAAGCAGCTGTGGGGCTCTACTACCATGCAGGTTAGAGGGAACCTTGCTGGTGACACCCCGCACTATAGTTGGCTACTATGCTCCGTGGCTTGCAAGGTGCAGCTCTCCCTTGTGGGGGCTGCCATCTCCTGACCCTGGTCTCTGTTTACTGAGCTGCGAAAGCTCTACCCTGCTCTACCCTGCTTGTGTAGTGTGGACAAGGGCCGAATTGGAGGAAGATTCCACTCCCAAGGGTCCTGGCGCAGTGGTACTTGTCGTCGTTGCCATTTGTTGAGCCTCGTGCTTGTACCAGGACCTGAGTCCCTTGCAGTACCTTGACTTTGTCACTGCACGGAACTGTCTGCATTGCACAGATTCGCCTGGTTTGTTTGTGCATGAGAAGAATCTGCACTTGGTGCGTTTTTCTGAGGGTAGCCACCAGGTGGCTTCAGATTATCCCAGTGGCTAGACATTTAAAATATGGGAGAGGTACCTGCAGGAATGTAATCAGAGGCACTGACGTTGTGATTTCCTCACAGGTGCTGGGCTCCCTGCTCCTCTCCAGGTCCTACCCCCACTCCACCTCTTCCCCCAAGCCTCCATCTGCATTCCATTCCCACCCCACCTCTGCCTGTTCCCACTTCTCCTCCTCCCTCATCACCTCCAACATGCCATTGAACAGCTGATCAGCAGTGGGCAGGAAGTGATCTATGGGGCTTCCAGTTGATGGGAGGTGCTGGGGAGGAGGAGGAGGAGGAGCTGACCTGTGGGGCTGCTGGTGGGTGCTAAAGACCCCCAATTTTTTTTCTGTGGCTGTGTGAACAGGCAGCGGCGCAGTCCTGCCGCACCGCTCCTCTATGTCCCTTCAAAGGTCCCATCAAAGTCCCTTCTGCCCTTCACTCTGGAGCTTCCTCCGCTGTCCGCTTTAGTTCACTACCTCCGTGCCCTCCAGGCGGCCTCATATGGTCTCCTCTCCGTTCTCCCACACTGCTGTCACAGGGTGCTCCATCCAAAGGGGCCAAAAGAAGAGCTGACCCAGCTCCCTCCTTCCTTCCCTTAGATGCCCTCCAGGCGGCCTCATACAGTCTCCTCTCAGTTCTCCCGCACTGCTGTCACAGGGTGCTCCATTCAAAGGGGCCAAAAGAAGAGCCGACCCAGCTCCCTCCTTCCTTCCCTTAGTCTGCACTGGCGCCGTTTTTAAGCATCAGCGCCCTTCCCCACGTCGGCGTACCTGCCGGTGTCCCTGCTCCCGTGGGTCTGTCTGCCCGCCAGTTTGCACACCAGTCGGTGTGTGCTTGCGCCATGAGGGCGCCTCTCCACACGCTGCCTCTGCGCAAGTGCCACAGGACCAGAATGGTGGCAGCCTATCGCTAGTGCGGGGGCTGGGACCCCCGTCACAGGCTGCTTTAGCTTGCTCCCAGGGGACTCCAGGGTTTTAATTCAGCACATTAAAGAACTGGAGGCTTCCCCAAGCTACAGACCTGGGTCTGCCTTTCACAAGAATTTGTGGATGGTTGGGTTTGTGATTTTGGGTTGGGCCTGTTCTGTGTGTGCAAAGCTGCCTAACGTATGGAAAGCAGGAGATGCTCTGTGTGGAATGAAGCCATTTAGTACAATGTGCAGACTCAGGCTTGATTTGTATGTGAATGTTCAGATACACGCTCCCATCATGGGTTGGTGGAAAGGCAATAAGTTCTCTCTTTGCAATCTGGCTTTCACCTATGATTTTGATGTCACAATAACCTAGCCATTCAGAACGTACCAACAATCTGCCTGACTCCCTTCTCAGCCTGCTAGGCTATGTGTCCTCCTCCCCTAATACTTTTTTGCAGTAATGTCTTGGATTCAGCATGTGATTTCACTGTCACAATTATCTGGGCATCTGTGCTGGGAATGGGCACCATATGAACTGTGTATGTTTTGCCATGTTGATCCTAGTTAGTACCTGTTCTGGGGCCTCTTGCATCTACTGCAAAACAAATAATAAATGTTTCCCAGGCAATGCTTTCGGAATGGTAGGGTTGGGCTTTACAGGGGTTTATGTGTCTCTCCCCCCTCCAGTGTAACTATTAAAACTGGATACAGGCTGCATGCAATGCCCTCAGTGCCTCCTCCATTTATATTATCAGTAATTTTGAAAAATGTTTTTTAATTTCCATGGCTGCTCCTTTCCGATTCTGCATTTTTATTTGCGAGTTGGATTAATTTTTTTTCAAACACATTTTTAATTAATTCATAATGAGTCAGGAATTAAACTGCATGAGTCTAGTGGGAAATATATATGTGCACAGCTAAGATTTCAGACCTGCACCAAGGTGGTTCATGCTTATGCTTAACTCTTCCCTGCCTCAAATACCAATAAACCTCTGTTTTGCCATAGTCATTGTACAGAATCTGATCTATTAGTCTCAAAGCCAGGATGTGGGAGCGATGTCACAGCTACCATACAGGGTACATTTTCTAGGGAAATAGCTTCCTCTTATTTTCCTTTCAAGGGCTGATGCAGCTTTCCTTATTCTCTAAGGGTATGTCTACACTGCAACACTGTTTCGAAGTATCTAGCGTTATTCTGAAATAACTTAGTCCTCATCTACACTGTAGGCAGTTATTTCAAAATAGTGTCAAAATACTGTCAAGCTGGAGGAATTTTTACTCTGACTCCTGTAACCCATATTGTATGAGGAGTAAGGGAAGTTGGAGGAAGAGTGATCTATTTTGAAATAGGTGCTATATAGATGCTCCCTATTTCGAAATAAGCAATTTCAAAATAAGATACGCAGTTGACGTAGCTCAGTTTCCATAGCTTATTTCAAGTTAAACCCTGCAGTGTAGACACACCCTTTGGGTACGTCTACACTGCACGGCTATATTCCGGAATTGCTTATTTTGAAAGTTAGTCTGAAATAGCTTATTTCGAAACACCACGTCTACATTGCAAGAAAGCCTCTAAATTAGTCCGAGGCAGGCTTCCCTAATGTAGATGTGCTATCTCGATTTAGAGCCCCAGGTGGCACTGGGGAGGAATAACTTAGAATGGCCCTGGTGAGGGGTAATTCAAAAGAGCAGCACTGGAACATCTACACATGCCTTATTTCGAAATAGCTATTTCAGAATAGGCGTTATTCCTCATGGAATGAGGTCTACAGATTTCAGAATAAGCTGCCCGTTATTTCAAAACTATTTTGAAATAATAGAATGGCGGTGTAGACACTCGCATTGTTATTTTGAAATAACACTAGTTACCTCGAAATAACAGTGCAGTGTAGACGAACCCTGAGTTACTATCTGTGTATATTTTCTCAACTCCCCAGATGATGTTACTGCTCAAGATTAGGGTCTGCCTCAAGCCCCCTCCCTTTTGGTCACCCCTGCTGTATATCAGACATTCTCAGGGGTGGTGGCAGGGTCTGTAATCATCTTCCTCTTCACTGATCTGTCCCTGTACCCAGAAATCTTCAAGGTACAGCACTCTCCCCTTCTTAGGCGCCACCCCGTCCTGTTGCAGGCTGTCTCTTTTAAGCTTTCTTGCCCCAGGCAGAGCAAGGCTACAAAGTGTGGCTAGTTAGTGTTGCCTGAGGCCAAGTTTACACTGCCACTTAAAAGAGCTGTAACTTTCTGGCTCATAGGTGTGAAAAAACACCCCCCCCCCTCGAGCTCAGTAAGTCATAGCCCTGGAAAGCTCCTGTGTAAACCAGGCTACAGTGCTGTGAACTGTGCTCTCAGAGCTGTTAGCTGCCCCCCTCAAAGAGGGGGTTTACACAGAGCACTGGGAGTGCTTGAGCAGAGGCCACACTTTCAGTTTAAAGCCTGAGCCTGAAACAACATGTTAGCTTCCTCTTTGCTAGAGTGTGTGCGCCCTTCCCACCCTGTGAAATGTAAAAGGTTTGATTCGCCAGCTCCCTGAGATAGTGCTTTGCTACTCGCCCTGTCACCTCCCCCATGCTAGCACATGTTTGGTTAAAACAGGGCTGCATGTACTCCAGGGAGTATGCGGGGGGCTTCCAGAGCCGACATCAACTCATCTAGACATTCACTCCCAGCCCCGGGTTCTGCACCCCCTGTTCTATCCTCCTCCCGGTGGTGAGTGGGAGGGAGGCATAGGCTAGCTTGGTTCTCTCTCTAGCGCTGCTGCCCATGGTTACTGTGCAGCAGCATTCGCAGGAGCCGTTCTCAGGAGCACCGGGCCCTGCAGTGAAGTGACTCACTCCCTGCAAGGAGAGAGGTTGAGGCAGAGGGTTGCCTCCCTAGCTTTGAAGTGCTGAGTCACAGGAATGGTGCTAACGACGGCCCCTGACTCAGGTTAGGCTCCTGCCATCTCTTGCTAAACAGCGGGTGCTGAATTCCAGATGTGGTGGGGTCCCGAGCCTCCCTCATCTAGTGCTGTACTTGGTCAAATAACTGGGTGGGTGAGGAGGAGGAGGAAAGGGCCTCTGCCAAGCATGAGTCCGGTTCCCCTTCAGCCACGCAGGATTCTCTCATCTCCACGTGAAAAGGAGAATTGTGGCACCATGCCTGTCAGCGCCTCATTGAAAGTGCATGATGCCCTCAGCTTACCCCGTCGGCACGGCATCCACTATGCCTAACAACAGCATTGTCTAGTGGCATGGAACCCAAGGGACCTGGGTTCTGTGCCTAGCGCTGCTGCTGTCTTGGCAGATCTCAGGCAAATCACTTTTCCTCTCTCTGCCTCTATTTCCCCATTTGTCTGCCTTATCTATTGGGTTTTCAATCTCTTCAAGGCGGAGTCTTTTAATAGGTGTCTGTAGAACCCCTGGCATTAAGGGAAGGAGATGTCACTCCTAACACAAAGACAAGGCACAACTATTTCAGCTATTTCTAGCTATTCACTCTGAGGTGAATTAAAATGCTTCAGTGAGCATTACAGATGTGGGCAAGGCAGCTAATATACTCCACACAGACAGGGAGAAAAAGTTTCATGCTTTACAAGTTCATTTGAAAAGCAGTTACTGGCTTGGCAATTTCACCCCTGAGCAGATGTCTCACACGTGCATGCAGGACATTGTTGCTTTCTCGTAAGCATAGGCAGGATAGGATAAACTCCTAGCAGGATGCCACAGATTCTGAACAACGTCTCCTGCTCCTTTCACTGAATTCCTGAGACAGGAGGGACTGGGTTATGGTTGCAATCTCTTTGAGCTGTTCAGAGTTTGATGCTTTTGGTCAAAGTGGAGCTGGCATCTCCTTGTCAGCTAGCAGCACGTGTGGCTTTGGAAGGCTTTGACTTTCTACCATGATCTCCCCTCCCCTTGTGGTTTGGTGGTTCTTGTGGCCCAACGCTGGAAATGAGAATGTGTGTGTCTTCTATCCGTACACCATGCCTTTCAGCTCCTCATACAGCTCACTGAGGTTTTGAAGGTCCTTCTCAAGCTGGCTGGCTTTTTCTCTTATATCTACTGCCGCCTCTACCTGAGCCCCCTTAGCTAAATGGATGGAGTCTTTCATGAGGCTATAGGCATCAAGCAGGACAAAAACCCCCGCTGCTGTGGCACCGAGCACCCTGGCGCTTTTGGACATGGCAAACGTGGTTCCCGCTAGGGCTTTTTGCACTTGCTTGGTCCCCTTTGCTGCATTCCGGGCTGTGCTCCCAGCTGCAGTGAGCCGTTTTGCTAAGGCCTTCAAGCCAGGGTTAGCTTTTACCAGTTGGAACGCTCTTACGTTGGTTCTTATCCCCGTCACGCTTTTGCATATGACCCCGGGAATTTTACTTGCAGGGGAAAGGACGTGTTTCAGGTGGTCGCCTGTGGCCTCGCTTGCTGGGGAGAATTTGGATCTGAAATCAACTTCATCAGAGCAGGTCAATGTTTCCAGGTTGCTTTGGCATTTCGCCAGAAGGTCGTTGGCTTTGCTCCTTTCCTTTGAATTGCTGACGTTCTCATACAGATTTGCAGAAATGCTGGTTGCTGCTGCCGCTGCCCCTAAGCCTATCCCAGTTGCTGTGAGAGCCAAGCTTCCCCCTGCTGTCAGCGGTGCTAAGGTCAGCCCAAGGATGGTCAAGATGCCAGAAGCCACGCTGGTGGAATTTGCTGCCACGCTGGCAATGGTGCACCTCTTATGGGTCTTGTCAATGTTGTCTGCCATTTCCTTAAGGCATTGGATACACTTTTCTATCTCCTCTCTCTGCTTCGGGAACTGCTTCAGAAAGACGATGATATCTTCACTGGTGCTCTCTTCCCAAGGGACGATTCCTTCAGACCTGTTAGAAGCCCCAGGTGTATTTTGGTCACTGCAAAAACCTTAAAGCTGTGCTGTGAAAAGTGACTGTTAAAAATGGCCCCTTAACCCCCTCTTCCTTAGCAGATGTGTCACCTTGTGCATATTAGAATCATTACTGTGCCAGTCAGTGAAACTATTTTCAGACTTACGCAGAGAATGCTTGTTCTAATGGCTGAGGTACTACACTGGGAGTTGGGAGACACCTGGTTCTAATTTTGGCTCTGCTACTCACCAAACAGCTGGATGACCTTGGGCAAGTTACTTTACCTCTGTGTTCCTGGTTTCCCCACCACCCTTTGCCTCGACTGTAATCTCTTTGGGGCAGGGACTGTCTCTTAGCCTGCATGACACAGTGCCCAGCACAATGGAACCTCACTTTTGGTTGGAATCTCTAGGTGCTATTGGAATTCAAATAATGATACAGCCAGCCTTGAAAGCTCAGCTTGGCACCTGAGAGTCAAGTGTCCTTGGTGTAGCCTACACTAGAAATTAGTTGCAACATCACCCCCCTGCACACTGTAGTTAAGCCAACCTAAGTCCCCTGTAGGTTGCGCTAGGCCAGTGTCTCCAACCTTTTTAATCATGAGATCACTTTTTGAATTTAAATCCAATCCAGGATCTACCTCAAACCCAAAATCCCTTCCACCAACTCCTTCCTGCCCCTTCTACGAGGTCCTGCCCCTGCTCACTCTGTTCTCCCTCCCTTCCCCATCCTCATTCACTTTTATCATGCTGGGGGCAGAGGGCTGGGTGCAAGGGAGAGGGATGTGGACGCTGATCTTGGGCTAAAGGATTTGGAGAGTGAGGGGGCTCTGAGTTGAGCCTGGGGCAGGGAGTTAAGGTGCAGGAGGGGGTGCAGGCTCTGGGAGGGAGTTTGGATGCAGGGGAACTCGGCGAGAGCAGGAGTTTGGAGTGCAGGAGAAGTTCAGAATTAGACCTGGGGTTCAGAATGCGGGCTCCAGCTGGGCATCACTTACCACAGGTGGCTTCTGGGTAGTGGTGCAGAGGGCTAAAGCAGGCTCACCCCACCACTGGTCCTGCACCACTCCCAAAATCAGCCAGCAAATTCCCTCTATCCCTGCCCCCGCTCTGCTCTGTGGAGATGGGGTACAGGGTGGGGGGAGGGTCACCCTGATATCAGCATCCCCTCCTCTTCTTCATATGCACTGCACAGTAAGGAAGGGGCTCCCGGGAGTGCGGGGGCAGCTCCAAGGCAGAGGGTAGGAGCAGCTGAGAGGGGCAGATGAAGTGCTGGCACTTGACAGCCTCCTGGCCAAACCTGTCAGGATCACTTGTCAAAGGCTCCAAGATCTATTGGTTGGTGACTACTGGAATAAGCACAAGAGATACACAGATGTATGGAAAAATAACCAATATCTGCATGCAACCTCACTCTGTTTTTGTCACCCTCTTGAGATCCCTTTGGATCTTTGTCAACAGCTTTCTTTGAGTTGTGATAGATTCTCTATGACCTGAGTCTCAAATAAAACTTGGGTATCTTTCAAAACAGGTATGCTCTGTCTCAGGGCCAGACTAAGGGGTAGGTGAGCCAGGCAGCTGCCCGGGGCACCAATTGATGGGGCTGGGGCGCCTGATGGCAGCTGTAAGGGGCGTTCGGCACCCCTTATAACTGCCATCAGGCACCACGTGCCCAGCTCCCAGCGGGCTGCAGTGGCTGCCCAGGGCGGGGGCTGCGTTAACCCCTGCAGTGCCCTTCCCCCCGCAGCTGCGGGGCCCTGCACAGCCAGGCATAGCCCACCCGGGCTGTGCGCCAGTGGCAGTGGCTGGACAGCGCATGAACCATGCGCCCACCCGAGTGCCCCAGGGGCAGGCTCATGCATGCGCCGTGTGCCTGGAGGCGTGCCCGCGTGCCCTGGGGGCAGGCTCGCGCATGCACCTGGAGGTGGGCCCATGCACCCTGGGGGTGGGCCCGCGTATGCGCTGTGCGCCCAGGGTGACATCACCCGCCCGGGGCACCAAAATGGCTCGGGGTGGCCCTGCTCTGTCTTAACTAGGAACCAGAGGCTAAATACAGCAATTACTGGGTGAAATGCCATGACCTATGTTATTGCAGAAGATTGGGCGAGATTGGGGTGGGCATTAATTTTTGGTGGGGGGGGGGCTACTCCAAGATTTTGGAAAGTGTCCAAAGGCTGCATTTCAATGAAGGGAGTGTGGGGTCTGGGACGGAGGTTGAGTGCAAAAGGGAGTGGGGTAGTGGATTGGGGTGCAAGAGAGAGTGTGGGGTCTGAGAGGGAATTTAATGAAGTAGAGGGTTGTGACCTTGGGCAGGGGTTTAGGGTGCTTGGTCCGGGAGGGAGAAGGGGTGCAGGAGTGAATTTTGACCTGGGGGAGAAGTGTAGCATGGGGTGCAGGCTCTGGCTGGGAGTCACTTACCTTAGGTGGCTCCCAGCCAGCAGTCCAACAGAGTCCCTGAGGCAGGCCCCAGCCACATAGGTTCCCTCCATGTGCTGCTCAGGGCCACACATGCCCCCAAGGTCACCTTTTCAATGTCAGGGCAAGCCAGGATCTATCCCGTCCCTTCCGCAAGACCCCACCACTTTGCTGAGCCCCTGCCCTAGCGTGCAGGTGGAACCGCCAGCAGTTCCCTCTATGCGCCAAGTGCTCCTGGCGGAGGGTAAGAGACTTCCTGCATTCTGCTGCCCCCAGCTGTGATGATTGGCCTGGAGGCAGGGGAACACACAAAACCTCCTCCCCGACCCCTGCCTCCAGGGGCATGTGGCAGCCAGAGGGAGCCACCAACTGCTTCGAACAGCTCACAGCTTCATCTATGCGCCACGTGCCCCTAACAGTGGCAGTGGGTGTGGGCAGGGTGGAGGGAGAGACTTCTTACGCTGCCCCACCCCCAAGCCAATCGAGGCCTGGGGCAGGGGCGGGGGCAAGAGAGTTTGTGCGCTTCCTTCCCCCCCCCCCCACGTCCCCCCCCCCCCCCCAAGTGGGCCACAGACGGATCCAACAGTTTGGTGGGCTGGATCTGAGCTGTGGGCTGTATCGTACCCCCCTCACTCCACCGGTTACATGATCATGATCAAATTGTTTACCTGGGCTTAATCAATCTCAAGTAAAACCAGATCAGAAAAAGACAGAGGGAAAAATCAAACAGATAATGGCAAAAGTAGGAATCTGCTGAACAAACAAGGGAGACTGAGGTATTTTAATAGTTTTAGGCAGGGCTTGCTGCCACTTTGTTCCTAAGAAGATATCTTTGATTGTATGTATGGGATAGGTCAAAGGATGCAACCCTATGGGGTGAGGGGTACTGGGAGGTCTGATTCAAGTAGGAGATGGGTGGATTGTATTCGGAAGGGGTGGGGATCCAGGGTTAACCTGCTTTTTTGGTTCTTTTTGTACAAAGCTGATGTTGGCTTTTTGAATGAGTTATATGAAGTGTTTGAATCTGATGGGAACACCATGGGTGGCCCAGGTTTATGACATTGGCCAAATCACTTGAACACCAAATCACTGCAAACACATTGCAGTTGGGCTGTTTTGAAATTTTCCAACGAGAGGGACATTTCATCTGACCCTGCAGGGTTTTTGGGGTGAACCCTCATCATTATGGTTTTTTGTTTGCTTCCTATTTTCGTTTGGTTGGACGGAAGGGCCTGGCATGTGGCAAGGAGAGGGGAGAAGCCACACTCTCTTTCGCCTTTGGCCAAAGTTTCTCTCACTTACCTCTCAAGATTCACCACTTCCTGCAACAGTTCCATGTAGTTCCACTCTTCAGAAAGCAAGCTTTGCAGCTCCTCGCTGTATATTTTCTCCCGCAAAAGCTCTGAGACCTCCAGGCTGCCGTCATATTCCCAATCATAGTCATCAAAGTTTTCTAAGATTAAAACCAACATCAGACCGGAGTGCCTTCAGACCTACTATTAAAAGGATGCATGCATTTCCAGTTCTAAATCATGACTACAGAAGGAAAGAGAAATAGCACAGTGGCAGGAGCAGGGATACCTTTGTAATTACCAAATGTTCCTGAGGCCATCTTATCGGGTGAAAATACCAGGTGCAATCTCTGTGACTTCCTTTACATTGCAGTCCTTCAGCACCTCTCATGCAGAAAAGGGGGAATTCCACCCTGGTAAAGGGAAAGGTAGAAAGAAAACATGGTTCTAAGTGAATCAACAGAAGAAACAAGTATCATATGTGGGTTAAGTTTAATGGGAAGGTAGGGTCCCATTTTAGTTTGCTAGTGGAATATGCCCAGCCATTACAAAATTACCATCATATCTGGCACACATTCTCCCTTTTGTGGGCAGAGGAAATCTAGCACCTTGATGCTGCTAGCAGCTTGAAACCTGTCATGCTGTGATTGGTAATTTGCAATCAATTGGTTATGCAGGGGATTGATGTTACTGCTCTTAAAAACCTCTGTGTTAAATATCCCTGTATATTTAAAGTTATTCTTCCTGGCTTGAAGAGAGGCTAATCTATGAAGCCTGCACTTGGATTTAGCCAGAGGTCTGGAAATGCACAGTTACATTGTGCTAAATGGGGTAATAACTGAATGTGTATTAGCACTTATTGTAAACTTTGCAGATGGGTAAAGAAGCCTAGAAGAAGCTAACAATGAAATCTGAAGATCTAGCTTGGAGATGCTTTACAGTCAAAAAGCTGCTAAGGATGGCAAGACCCCCATTGTAAAGGTGAATACAGAAATCAGAGACTGTAGCGCTAAAGCAGACAGTGTCCAGTCAGACTGTGCTGCAAGGGGTGATAAATTACACAAAATGGCCACCAACACGGCAATGCTTGACAAGAGACAAAAATATGGATGATCAAAAATTGAAAACACAGTGGGAAATAAAATAAGGAGTTTGATGTGGGATGCCCTACACAGCAGTTTCTTTAGGAAAAATTAATCACCCTTTATGGTACATCTAGAAATAGTTAGGTTAATTTGAATTAGAAATACAGGGTAAATAAATTATTACAGTCATTTTAACAAATGGCTAATGAGTTGGTATGAAGGCCAACAGAGTACTTTCAACCAAGCTTGTATCATAGAATCTTAGAACTGGAAGGGACCTCAAGAGGTCATCAAGTCCAGTCCCCTGCCCTCACGGCAGGACCAAGCACCATCTAGATTATCCCTGATAGACATTTATCTAACCCACTCTTAAATATCTCCAATGATGGGAGATTCCACAACGTTCCTGGGCAATTTATTCCAGTGTTTAACCACCCTGACAGGCAGGAAGTTTTTTTTAATGCCCAACTTAAACCTCCCTTTCTGAAATTTAAGCCCACTGCTTCTTGTCCTGTCATCATATATCAAGGAAAACAATTTTCTCCCTCCTCCTCGTTGTGTGTGTGTGTGTGTGTGTGTGTACTGAAATGTGAATACTGACCACATAATGGTCAGTGGGTATTGGCCCATTCGCCTTGGTAAGTTAACCTCCATTACCCTTCCCTTCCCTACCACAAGTGGCCTTCATCTGAATCCTGCCATATCCCTGGCACATGGGAGTCAGTATAGTCAGAATACTGATTTGGTAACTAAACAGGATGAGCTTTCCACAGGAATGAAACTGCTCTCTTTTTGTTGTGTTCTTTTGTTTCAGGTCATAATCC